GCTCATGATGCTCGCCACGCGGGCTCAGTACCAGCACCACGACTGCCAACCACCACCACCACCACCACCACCACCACCTGCCCTGGCTACCGCCACCACCGCCGCCACCACTCCCGCCACAACCACCACCATCACGAACCCCAATACCGGCAACAGTAATTGCAAAACCGGCAGCAGCAGCAGCAGCAACAAGAATAACCACATCAGCAAGAGCCACCACCTTCTCGTGCCGACCCGCTAAATCACACTCACCACTTAGACTTGAACACTGTTGCCAGGCTCGTCACTCTAGTAGCGACGACTATGTGGCTATGTGCTGCTAGAAGATATCAACAACACAACCTGGTTTCGGTGCGTGAGAAGCAGCGCAACACTCACAACCAAGCCAATATCAATCTCGGAATCAAGAATGGATCATAAACGCGCCTTCACTATAATAGACTATAGTATAGGAGAATATTCTATGATACACTATCGTGCCCCATAATATATTAGGAGGTACTATAGCATATGTAACTTAGACAGTCACGGCTAAAAGATGCTGTGCTGGACAGGGGGACCCACAGATGTTTGGCGGGCTTTGCCCCGCCGGCCCTCGGCTGACTGCCTGGCGTGATATGGCACAGGGTACCGACGCGTTCAAGCCGTCATAAATTCACCGAACCAGTAGTATGCTAACATGTCCTAAACTTAACATGACATAGATAAAGGTAAGATGAGCATTATATAGTATTATAGTCCTACTTTTGAAGGTTACCAGCCCTCAAAGCAGAGTTGCAACTACACCGCCAGTCTGTTCCAACACAGGACCAGCAGGCCTGCAAGTTGAAGGTGCCCTCGAGTTCCTTAGAGTTGGGACCACTGGGGAGCGCGAGCCCAAAGTAAGCGCCAGACTGTTTAGGGCTGCATGTTTGAGGTTGATCTCGCCCATGTTGGATTCCGGACTCTTGGTTGGTGTACAGCCAGAACATGCAACCGGTGCTGCTGGAGCGTTCCGCAGTTCGAAGAAGTTCACAGGCCACTTCGCAACGTGTCGCACCATGCTCATCCATCTGTCTGGAGTCTTGCAACGCAACGCAGATTGGGACTATGGAACCTGAGCTTTTGTAATCATTTGTATGAATCCATCCTGTTCGACATTCTCAGGGGCCCCAAAACAGAGTCAAGTTTCCAGAGGCTGGAAAATCGCAGCTCAGCTCCTGCAAGGAAGCGAGGAGGAGGAAGAGACGCCTCAGGGAGTGCAGAGCGTTCGCAAGGGCCCTTTAGAGGACTATCTATCACCAAATCCTAAACCCCGAGACCCTGCGAGTTTGGGGTGTTGATCTTCGGCTTAGCTCCGCAGCTCCAGCTGCGCCCCACGAACGAGCTGGTTAGTTGAATCGAGGTCACGAACAGGCTACGGCCAGGACACGCAGAGGCTCCGAAATGAAAATCGATCCCGATGCGTGCCAAGCCCAACGGGAGCTTCAGGGAAAGTACAGAACCCTTGTATAGGCCTTCAATAGTAGTAGATGTGGTAGGATCCTTATGAATCTAAGTTTTAGGGTCCCCTCGTTTTAAGTAGCCCCCAAATCTCTAGCTACATCCCAATGCAGGACTTGCTGGATCTTGTTCAGTGCAACGCAGTCATCGCTGCAATCGCCGCTAGCGATCTGCCACATCCATGGGTGTGGCTCTTACACAAGTTATTTTGTGTTCCGGCTTACCCTACGGCTTTGAGGTTTGGGTGTTTCTTGCATGCACACGTGTGTGGGAGGGGACCAGTGGATGGCGATCCATTTGCAAGCTTTTGCATCCCCTCCCCTCCCGTTGGCACTCCAACTAACAAAACGGGTCCCACAGTTACACGCCGCAAGAAGGAATCCTACTAACTCATACGAACCGATTCAACCTCATATTTCATGGCGGAAGACTTAAGACCTTCCATTTTTCCAGGACCCGTTCCAGGGGCGATTTGCCAACTCCACAGATCGAAGCACAGGCCTTCGATTGTAACCACGTCTGGGCCCCTAAACCCTAAACCCTCGTACCAGAACTCCTCGCCTAGGTTCGTCCGAGTGTGAGTGCTGAAACTGCATTTCGACCACCACCTGCGCGGGCTCCAACCACAGTGGTCGGCTCGCTACCCACAGTGGAACAATAGCTTGGCACTCCCGCACCTACTATTATACGCCGACGACATCCTTTTATTCGCAATGTCCCCTGCCGAGCTACAAGAAAAGCTGGCTGATCTATCGGATGCTTTGTCAGCCATAGGACTGTTCGTGAATCCGAAGAAATGTTCGGTCCTTAACGTGGGCGGGGCCACTCCTGGTGTTTGGCCGAAGCGCTCGGCGGTGCCATTGCAAGGTAAGGATCGCATCATGTTCCTTGGTGTGCCGTTGGCGCACACGAATACACCAGACCTTGTCCTGGCACATCCACTGCGTAAACTCACGAATTCATTTTTCGGCATGAAGAAAATTTTGGACAGGCCCACAACACCTCATCGGGTGAAGGCTCTTCTTTTCGACAGTTACATTTCATCCAAATGGGCATGGTGTGCGGCGGTGGTCTGGCCAACCACCAGATCGTTGAAGGCCCTGGAGGGATTGAAGAATTCGTTATTGTTGGGCACATTTAGGCTAGGGCGTGACCCGTTCTCTACGTGGCTGGAGAATGTCAAGGGCACCCGTCGAGCGTTGACTCTGTATTGCCATAGGTTCGAAGGTCCCCAGTGGCAGGTTTCGTGGCTGAAGAGAATCTGGACGTACATGGGCCACCTGGCCCGCAGCACCGTCCCCACCCCCCTGAGAAACATGCTCAAAGCCATGAGTAGCCACACCTTGTCTCTGGGAGGGCTCAAGCCTTCGTGGCTTTCTGAGACCCAATTCCATAAATTCCGCTTGATATATGAGCATATTCGTCTCCCGCAGGACAAACCGTACTGGGAATGGCAAGCCCAGGACAGAGCAGCGTGGCAGAGCATGCTACCTCGGTGGCTGGCTCGATGGAATGTGGGGATTCCCCCACCTTCAACCACAGAACACCTTCAGGGTCGCCAGTTGGTGGTTTTAGATAAAGGGATCATGGCACTGCGAGCGCGCAGGGATGCACTTGAAGGACTCTACGAGCGCGGCTTGGTACATCTCAGGTCCTGGAGAGCAAACAGCCGCATGGGGCTCACCTTTTGGGCCACGCACGAAGTAGGCTCGTCGGTGGCATGTGTGTATTGCTTTCGCTCCAAGCAGAGGGCACAGGATGCCTCCGTGATGCATGTCCGCGTGCAGGGGGGCGACATGCATGCAAGTGCATTGTCGATACTTCTGGTCGTTTGTGACCTCCTGGAAATGCAGCAGCAGGTTGAACCATTAACCCAGGCCGCGGTAGTCCTCCCCCGCCGCCACCTCCTGAAACACATTCTTGAAGGATCTAGGGACGGACAGGACGTGGACGCGGCCCGGTTCACCAGGCTGTGCTACGAGGTGGACCTCATGAAGCGCCTCTCCCTCACGCCGAAGAAGTGGCCCGAGAGGTGGGCGGTGCAGCTAGGGTTCAGGCCTACGCTACTTCCTGCTGGGTGGGGTTATTTGGTTCGGAGTGCAGATTTCCACAGTGCACAATACTTTACGGAGCTTCGGTCGGCGATGCTCGTGGCGCTCAAGCCCCAGCTTCTGCCGGGATGACTCGACAGACCGAAGCGAGTAGGCTCAAACCACCCGTAGGATCTCTAGGGCCAGGAAAGGGGGGGGGGGGCAGGGCGTCCGGAAATGCCCTCTAAGCGCCCGCGACTGGATGCAGAAGTGCTGGCCCTCGATATCTTACAACGCCCGGGGTTTGTGACGAAGGAAACCCTGCTGGGGCTCCTTCGCCGAGTGCCGCAGGAGGAATGGACCCCTCGTTACGGAGGGCGAATGCTGAGTTTTGGAGCCTTTCAGAGGGTCCAGGGGGGCTTGAGGACCACAGCTCGACGTTATCCCCTAACAACGAGGGTGGTGACGAAGTTTGTCCAACACTGGTCGCCGGAGACATCCTTCACAACGGTTTCCATCCTGGACAACGTGCTGACCCCCCCACACTACGACAGCAAGAACTCGGAAGTCCCGGGGATGCTCACCGTCATCACGCAGGAGTTTGTTGGAGGTGAGTTGTGGTTGGCCCACGAGCGCGGGGACACCAAGATGCTTCATGGTGGTCGCTGGCACAAGGCATCAAGGTGGATGTAACCTCACCGCTACGGTTCAGCGCCAGGAGCATCCTGCATGGCACCTGCGAATGGCAGGGGGACCGAGTGGCACTGTCGGCCTACTCCACACCCAACGTGGAAGAGAACTTGGGGGGCGACAGGTTAGTCAAACTGGCGGCCTTGGGCTTTCGCCCTCCCTCAGCAGAGCTGGAGGAGCACTTCAAGTTCGAGATCTGGGGGGCCACGACGGTGAGGCAGCTGCGGATGCATCCACGGCTGGTCTGGCCGGCTGGCCGACTGCTGAGAGGTCCCTCGAGGGATATTGACTTGGATCCGGAAGCAAATGAGGAGATCGGCACCTGCCCCGACACGGTGCTGATTGACTCAGACACAGACTCCGACATCATCAGCATCTTTATGGGTGGTGCAAGTCCGCAACCGGACCTGTGGGATTGCATCCTTTCAGATCCCGAAACATGCGATTTTGACGTTTGAAGGAGCTTCTCCGCGTTGGTGTTGTGTTGCTTGGGTAGTGTGGGTTTTGGTTGGCATGTGTTCATATTGTAATTTTCCTTCGGTGGTGTTGAGGTGAGGAGAAGCTCTAACGTAGAGGGAGACCAGGATGTGAGTGGGTAATCCATAGACATCTGGGATCGCAGCTTACATGTAAAGTTCCTCGCGCGAAGCACGATGGAGCTGCTCGCCTTCTTGCTCGGAGTGGCGCTATGCGGGCTACTCGTCAAGCTGATTTTTGACATGCATGGCATTCGGCACGGCTTGAATTCAATGCAAGTGCAGAGTGAAGCATGGATTCGAATTCACAATGACCAGCAGCAGTCCCTGGACACACTGTCAACCTTGCGCGGGGAAATCCTCCAAATCCGCAAGCGCCTGAATGATCTGATGGACCAGTTCTACCATGGGCTGGAGATCCGCAAGCACTTGGGGGAGCTATCCAACACACATGACATGGTGATGGAGCTCCACAGACGCAGGGGAGCGGCGGCGGAGGTCCAGCATGTAATGTTCGTGCGTGGACAGCTCACTGATTTGGGGGAGCAGCTTCGCAACCTGCAACGGACAATGGAGGCCCTCCAGCCGGGGGCGACCGAGGCGCAGTATCCCCTGGTGCGCCTAGCTATACCTGACGGCTCACAGCTGCACTTGCAATAGCGATGGGTCCCTCGACAGTGAGCCGCTCCTCCCCCGTAGGGACCTGCTGCAACGACATGAACGACGGCATGATGATGAATTTAATACATGCAGGGCGCTTGTGAATTTAGTGCATGTCTGAATTGGAAATTGTATAGACGCCATGCTTGTAAGTCCTACAGTCTCTTTTGAGGTCACATGATAGGCAAATCCGATGGGCCCCTCTGGCCAATGTGTACGGATGTTGCGAATTGTGCTTGTCAGCCTCTGGAAAACACTGGTGCAGTGCTCCTCGTGAAGCAGCAGCCGAGTAACCCGTCGTTGCTCCTTGCTAACGTGGCACCATTATTGAAGATCCAGTATGCAGAGTAGCCTGTACCCTCCTGCGGCAGCGAGTCCGCGACCGGGGACTGGTGCCAGGACCGGGCAACTTGGGAAGGGTTAGGTTTCGGATGTTGCCGTGAGGGTTCGTGTGTCACTCCATGCCATTGCGTAAAGATGAGTGAGGCTGAATTGCGAAGGGTTGTCGTTTGGGGTGCTAGGGTTCAGTGTGATGTGGGTCAAAGGAGGGAAGGCGAAGACGTTCTGCTACCAGCCTTCGATCTGCCTGCCGCTGTAGGGGCCTCTTCATGCAACCCCGCTGCTGTCCCTCACCCCGATACCCCGCCGTACTGCGCCAGGAAACAACTGAACGTGAGTGGTGAAACCCCGCAGCTACTTGTCGCGAACTCCCGTAGCAGCACTCCAAGCAAACTCTCCAGCGAGATGTCGATGGCTCTCTACAAGCCGTCCTCGTCGTATGAGGGAGAGGAATGGTGCCAGACCGGGGACTTGCTCACCATGATCTTCGGGGCCATGATTACGGGGCTCTGCATGGTGGGAGGATATGTGGTCCTTCGCCGCCGCAGGCCCAACGATCAGGACCCAGTGGCTCGCCGCCTTGATGAGCTCACGAAGGCAGTACAGCAGCTGCAGGCTTTGATGCATGTGGAGAATTCACTGACGAGGGACAACCTGCATGACGAATTTGCTCGCGAATTCAAGGACTTCGGAGCTCGAGTGCAAGCAGTCATGAACAAGGTGATGCAGGTCTCGGAAACAGTGCTCTTGTTCAGCGATCGGCTGGACGTCCTGGAAAGCGAGCTCAAGAAGGCCCTCGCGGAGTTCAAAACGGCGGTGGTTGATGCTACTGCCAAGATGGGGACCCGCTTGAACTCGTTCCATACCGACACCCTGAAGTCCCTCAAAGACTACGTGGAGGAGCTCAAGGCGGAACTCAGTTCGACAGCCAAGGCGCTGGGGGACCGCATGAAGGAGGACACAGGGGGGGCGGTTATGGACTGCCAGAAGACGCTCCAGCACATGCTCATGCCCATGAAGAGCGCTCAAGACAAACATGCGGCCACATGGAACGACAAGTTCACAGAGGTGATGAGGGAGCTGGCAAATACACCATACAGGCTGGGCAAGGAGAGCAAGGACATCCAGGCCCAGGTCCGGTGGTGCCAGCAAACAGCTGACAAGATCCACCAGGCCACAGAGCACCTCCCAGACCGCCTCGGCTACCTTCGCGGGATGCTGGAACGGGTGGAGGATGTTCTGGAAAGCGTCAGCAAACATGTGGCCCCTGCCGACGAGGAGGTCAAGGAAGGCTCACCGCAAGGGCCGCGCGATGAGTCAGCTACAGGTTCCACTCAGAACCCGACGTGGGCTGCAGGAGGGGTGCCTCGATCCATGGGGCCCCCTACGATGCTCAATCTTGATGAGTCGCTCCCTGTACAGCCTATGGGACGACCCAGCGCTTTGGTGCCGATCACGTTGCCAGACGGGAGGGTGTGTTACATCCCCCGACAGGTCTTGCAACAGCTGCTGGGACATGCGTAAACCTTGCGGGGGTTTGTCAATTTTGGGGTGCCGTAGGCTTGTCTCCTTTGCTTGCTGTTTTGCTTCCCAATGATCCCAGCAGTGCCGTGTTGGAGATGCAGGTAGAATTTGTTTTGCGTGGAATTTAATGCATGCCCGCATGTGCAGAATTTAAGAATGTGAATTTTATGCAAGTGAATTTAGGAATAGTCCCGCGGCACCAATACTCACAGGCTTCGATGGCGGCAAATATGGGGGCACGCCGGCGAGATCTGCATGGGCCCACTCCTATTTCCTAAGGCACGTAGGATCCGCCCCTGAAACTGACGAGCCTAGGCGCCCAAGCAGATTCTGTTGAAGCTAGCGAAGCCAAGCGATCGTGTGCAACAAGTCTCCCCCCTAGCTGGTAAAACCCGTGCGAGTAGGACCTCGCCCAAGCAAAGGCGGTTGAAGCTAGGACAGCCGAGCGCTCTCGTGCAAACGAGTTGTCCTACGGCACAAACCTGAGCAGTAGCTAACATCGTGTAATTACACCTTGATAGCAAGCCCTGCCACAGGAAGCGAAGTTCACCGACTTCGTCGAGCCGCCTTACGGGGGGCCCTTCCCGCCCCCCCCCCTCGGGCAGGGAACGCCTGCCTACTTGAGCCTAGTCGTTCGTCGCTCCTTGGGGTCTAGGGAACTCCCGAACCCGGGGTGTAGTAACCACCAACCTGCGCCCGCGCCCCATGGCTTCTGCAGTCGATACAATGGATTCCACGCTGCAAGCTGGTACTGGACGGCATACTCTGGAATGAGATGATCTGGAGGCTTATGCGCGAGAGCTGACAACAATCGCATGGGTACATCAGCTGGAGTTCTGCTGCCCCTAAAGAGGGCAACCGAGGTAGGAGGCTGCAGACTGAGGGTGTGACAGCGCAAGACCCTTGGTGTACTTGCGTAGGGCGATGGCTGTATGTCTTAGACCTCACTGGAGGCATGACACCACAGGCAGTCTCTGGGGCTGTTCTGGCATGGATGGAATCCAGCAAACATACATGGTAGCCTGGGGGTGCGGCTCTGCAAGCATTGGCATGGAAAGAATTCACCAGACATGCACGAACGGGGACATAGAGCATTTGGAATTTGGAATTTACTGCATCGGTACAGTTGCCACAAGCTTGACGAGATTTCCCGCTGCATGACGAGGTGATACAGTTGCATGATGGAGTGTCGAAATTTGCAAGTTCTGCTGCTGCATGACGAGGTGATTCATTTGCGTGTTGGAGTGGTGAAAATTGCAAGTTATGCAGGATACGATGCATGCAGGCATGTCTGAATTCCTTTGACTGCGTGGACAGAGACTGCTATCTGATACTGGGAAGGGGGCCTGATGAAACAAGAGGCCGACAGAAGTTCTCCGGAGATCACTGAAGCTGCAAAGGCAGACACTTCCTGTCGTTGCTCTCGCAATGACAGGGGTGTCTAGGTGCAGTTCCCACAGGTGATGTGAGTGAAATCGTCGCTGTCACAGCAACTAGTTGTGCATCGGAACATACGCGGAGTCTGGCGCATCCTGAAGGGAGTCGCTCATGTTTGTTTGAGGTTAATGTGTTTCCAGGAGCTAATGTGCTGCTGCTGCAATGCCAAAGTGCGTGTCGTCGTACCAGAATCCTCGCCAAGGTAAGTCCGAGTGTGAGTGCTGAAACTGCAATGCAGGCTCGTCCTTGCTATGTTGAAGGGAAAAAAACCCTAAACCCTAAACCGATTCCGGCGAACCCATCTCGCAAGATCTCAGGTCGCTGCCTTGCGGCTCTTGGATCTTGAGAGGGGCCTCGGCCTTCAGGCACAAGAGTCTGCAGGAGACACGAAAGTTTTAGGAGTCTCTAAACGTTCATTTTTTTTCGGTGGAGCCGGGGGGGGGGGTTACAAGGCCTCAATTGTAGGAGTTCCTGCAGGGACTACTACTCTTTATCAGCTGATTTTTATTCTAGCTCAGTCTAAGAAGCATATGAGTTCAGACAGCTACCGAGGAGCCTTCGCCGACTCGGTTGGTTCGCTGGGAAAGTTCATTGTGGCCTTATAATGCTACCAACATGTAGTGTCGCTCACCCGATTTGCTCTAAAGTTTGGTGGGCCAGTCTGTCTTGTTGACGATTCCTTCCTCGTAGTTTGGGTTTCGATGGGTTTTATCTTGATCGCCCTTGCAAACCTCGTGAACATGGTGCAGTACGTGTCTTGGCCAGAGTTGCGGGCGACTAATTCCGACAGCTTCAATTCGCGGACGCGGAGCGAGCAGATTTGGTTCTGGCAGGTGGATGCCGTGGCTTTGAACTCGGTGATCAGCAGCGCGGGCTCGTCGTTCAACAGTCACTGAAGTGCATTGCATCGGTGACTGGAAGCAGCAGACCTGTAGCGAACCAAAACGCTGATGATGGTGACGGTTGCAGTACAGCGAAAAATGCTACGCGTGAATTTCACTTGCATGTGGCCACATGAAACC